TATTTATAACAGATAACATTACTTTATACATATGTTAAAAAGCAGAAACTTCAACGAACATGAAATAAACAATAAACTACGTCTATTTATCCAATATGTTATATAATACATACTGTATTTGAAAACTGTTCAGCTTTACGATTTCAGGACAGACCAGTCACTGTCAGGAACATTACGGCTTCTTGGATGCGGTTTTAGCTTCGCTGCTGCTACTAACACTAACGGCACATTAGCGCAAAGGGCTGCATACGCCGAATTACGTCTTGCTTGGCAGTCAAAGGCGTTTGATGTTCATTGGCGTGGGAAACAGCGGTTCTACTGCTAAACCACTACGGAAAAGACTACAAACTAAAATAAAGTAAAATAAAATAAAAAATAAAAGCGCCCCGTCAGGTTTTAAATAATAACTTAATGTTTTAGCTATCGGTCCGGGTCCGTATAGGACAGCTTCTGGGTCCGGACCCGGTGTTCTGACAAAACGTCCTACTTTATCAAAACATCCTACCGTAGTGCTAATCGATAGCCCTAACCCTAACCCTAACCCTAACTCTTACCCTAACCCTAACCATAACCCCCCAAAAACCCTTAAAACTCTTACCTTAACGCTAACCCTAACCCCTAAAACCTAACCCTAATCCCATGACGGTGGAACTGCACATGCGCAGAAAGGCTCGATAGCACGTCTCGATAGGTAGGATGTTTTGTCAGAACACCGGCCTGCGGTCCGCCTGTTAGTGACCTCTGGTGTAGGGCTACAGGTAGTATCCATCAAGATCTTACCCAGTGTAGAACACAACATAAATCCTGCATAAATTAACTAAATCACTCTGGATTAAACTGCATTATAAATTGTAAGACTAACATAAAAAAAAATCACCAGAAGAAGAATAACAAAGATACCAGGGAGAAGTATAACTAAACTGAGAAACTATAAAGCATAAGAATAACAATGACGCAGCGGCTGTCTCTCTGTAAGGTTGCCGTCTTGCTATTGATATTGATGTTACTTGATATTACTAATGTCTGAAGTCTATTGTAAACTAACAGTGAATACTATAGTCACCTGACGCCATGTGGTTTTACTGTTAAAAACAAAAGTGAAAGTAACAATTTCAAACAGAAAAATATAAGATTAAAACCCTAACTTTTGTAACAGCTTTTTAAATGTCGAACAATGACGCCCCCAAAATTAATAGCATAATTTACAACGGTGATTAGAATTCATCAACTTCACAATCTCCATCTTTCCATGTTTTTGCTTAGGTCTTAGGAATTATCACACGTACATACAGTACAAAATTATTATTTATTACACAGTACAATTATTTATTACACAATACAATGCAAAATTATTTCAATAAATAAATTACTTTCTTTGAATTGTACAGTAATTTTGTTTCGACTCACCATTAAATATTCCATCCCTCTATATCCAGCTCTGCTGAGCTCACTTTTACGGCTGAACGTGAAGAGCAAACGGATCGCGATCTCGCTCTGCTTTTACTTTCATTTTTACTTCCTACAGTATGTCATGGGAAAATGTCTTCCTGGAGGCTTAATGTACCGTATTTGTGAAATTATACTAAAATTACTTTCAGATACTCGGGAAAAATAATATTTTCCAATGTAATATTTCACTGGATCTTTCTTTCAGATATTATGTTGCTTTTTTGGAATCTTCTTTATATGATGTTGCTGCTCGGGAACCTTCTTTAAATGGACTGCATTTATATAGCGCTTTTCTACTCCTATGAGTACTCAAAGCATTTTACAATTCATGCCTCACATTCACCCATCCACACACCAGTGGTAGAGGCTGCCATGCAAGACGCCAGCCAGCTCACCAGGAGCAATTTGGGGTTCAGTGTCTTGCTCAAGGACACGTTAATGGGATCAGGAGAAACCAGGGCTCAAACCTGCAACCATCCAGTTGCCAAATGATAGCACTACCTCCTTGACAAGTACAGGTACATTGGAACGCATGTCTTCGCCGATCCCATCTTCATAGCCTGACAATCACAGCACAGGGTCAGCTAATTTGCGGCACCCTGACACAACACAGAGACATGCAAAATCCGATAGTTAGTGATTATAGTGTAACAATGTAAATATACCTTCTGGGGTTATGAAATATTATTTAGCACTTCGTAACGCATAGAGAGTGTAATCATTAGGACTCTGTAAGAAGCTGATGTAAACCGTGTATAAAGAGTGACCTTGTAACCTTCAGAGAATGCAGACCAATTACTGTTGTGCACAATATGACGAAAAACCAGTATTAATGAGCACCTTGTGTTGGCTTAGAAGTTTCTGTATCTGTTAGCTATCTTATGTTAGCCTTTGACGTATGAATATGTACTTTATTAGTGCTGCGGCTTATCACTATGTTGAAGGACAAATATATTATCAACCCTCTAGCCAGACAATGTGCAACAAGCTGAAGTTGCCAAGACTTGCTACCGAAGGAAGGGATTCGCCTGAGTTCACCAAAAGTTCACGGCTGAGTATTTTTAAAAAACCAAGTAGAGATGGAGGCGCCATAATTATGTTCAGCTGAGGGACCAAACAGTAAAAGAGATTATTGACAAACATCACCTAGGGATGTGGATCAAGGGAGAAAACAACGATGGTGAATGGTTGAAGGAATGATGATGCTTAAGTGACGAGATATTGTTAAAGGATAAGAAAATGTATAAAAATTACTGAAAAACAGTATTGGACACACTCCTGCAGGGTGTCCAGCCTTGGCTGTAATCTCGTTGTTACAATAAAGACGGAATCTGAAGATCTACAAAGGCAGGTCCTGGCTCCTGATTGGCAGGGAAAGAAAAACCCACCACAGGATCAGCTGGATTAGGAGAAGGACATCACCTCCTACAAAAAGAGGGCTCCTCTTGGGCAGGTACCTGAGGATTAGCGAAGATGCTAAATATGCCAGTGTTCTGTTGAGTTGAGATACTTTGTCGAGTTACTTTGTGCTAATCGATAGCCCTAACCCTAACCCTAACCCCAAAAAACCCTAACCCTAACCCTAACCCCGGCAACCTAACCCTATCACATCTCGATGGGTAGCTGAACTCGGCAGAACAGCGGAAGCTCAGCTGGAGCAGACAGGAAGCCGTTCATATGTGGGCTCCAAATAAGGCTGGACGTATTTAAGGACAGTCCGTAGTAGCTTACTTCTGTAGGTAATGGCAACCTGCCACCTAAAATTCAGGCACCAAACAACGATGAAGATGGTATGAGGTGGTGGAAATGCAAACAAGATTTTACCTGAAGAGGGAACAGAACAAGCTCTGTGCTGCAATGCAAACAATTAGATTAACGTTTAATTCTACCTGAACAAATTAATGTATTTACTTATTTTACAACAACAGATGGTGTCAGAGAGTCTGGCTGCCTAATTCTTAACTTCACTAAGGAACAACATTAAGTCTGCTATGATGTTGCCAATTGGTAGCATGCAGTACATGCATATTGTTAAAACCCATGTTTCAATTACTAAAATGGTACAACTAAGGACTCAGAATGTGTTTTAATGAAACATAGAAAGTAAAGGTAAGAGAACAACCTTTGATGTAAGGTAACGTCCCAAGGACCACCTGGTCACTCTCAGATCCCTGTGCCGGTGTCCTGGGCTGCGTTCTCAGCCATGTCTCATCTGTAACATGCTAAGCAGGGTAACCTTTAAAGGTGCCCAACGTGTCTTTATTGGGGAGCCTTTCTGTTACCTCAGCTGCTGCAGCTGCTTGTAGGATTCACAGCCTCCTGGCAGCTTGTCAGGATTTCAAATTAAAATCCAGCAAAACCCAGGTTTAAGTGACATGTCAGCAGCACGGAGGACTGAAATGATTTATGCCTGGTTACAAAACTGAAATTGCACCATACCGAAATATTGCCTCAGCACATGTGTATGTTGAGTAAAGGAATCCTTCTCTAATCAAGTACCACACGGTCCGATCGGAACAAAAATATACAACATTTTAATTGTATTAAATTAATAACAATTAATCAGCACACAGCAAGAACTCAGTGCTTAAGTGAAATCCAGGTCCTTTTAACTGAAATGGTTGAAATGGCAGTTTACAAATCCTGTCGTAGCTCATCGGGTCCCTCCTGACATGGATTAGGTGGTCATCCTATTTGCACAACAAGCAACAGTGTAAGAAATTACATGACTATTGCTGAAGCAGTATCACTTAGTGGTGGCATGTGAAAGGACAGCTACAGACTCAGATCAGGTGAACCTGATTACACTGAAACAAGTCACACAAAGTTGGGCTTTTAATTAAGATTTTTTTAGGAGAGGTGGGGAGAGTGTAGGGGGGTAGAGATTGTAGAGATTATGGGTATATTATTATATACTGTAATAGTATACTGTATATTATTTGCATGTAATGATCTTATAGCCAAGGCTACATTACAGAACCGTCATTGTAATAGATGCATTATAAATACCTATGTTTTGCCATAAATATGGAAACTGCAATTAAATAACCACCTAGCTATAATATTAACTACAGTATATTTCAATGAGAATTTAATGGTTATTCTGTCACTCATTTCTGTGGAGAACAGATTGTTAATCTGTGTTAGAAATGTATGTATGACTGACTGTAAATACACAACAATCTCTGAATAAATGGGAATTTCTGCAGTAGTGATATAGATGATGTTATATTAACATTTTAAGGAAACTTTTGCAAATCAAAAGGATTTGCAAACATCATGTTTAATTCACATGTCTGCAGCACTGAATAGTGAAATGATTTATGCCTGGTTACAAAACTGAAATTGCACCATACCAAAATATTGCCTCAGCACATGTGCATGTTGAGTAAAGGAATCCTTCTCTAATCAAATACCACACAGTCCGATCGGAACAAAAATATACTCGATTTTAATTGCTCCTTTACAAGAACAGCTGCCAGTTTGAAATGTCTGAAAGCTGTTTGGCAGATTAATCTGTAAGGACATAAATTGAAACATTTGTTCCCTTGTTTTTGAAACTTTTGGGCAAAAATCTAATTTATTTCATTTTTGACCTTTGGAGTAATTGCATAAAATATAAATCAATTTCAATTGCAGACACCCCAGGGCAATAATATCTCCCAAAAGTACTTTTGCAAGAGCTACTGCAGAATGCGGAGTCATTTACACAACCAATTTTAAAAAGAAAAAGCAACAGTGTAAGAAATTACAGGACTATTGCTGTTTCATAAAACAGCAGCTAGAGCAGAGTAACTAAGAAACACAACATTAAGTCTGCTGCTGCTATTAATACCCATGTTTCAGTTACTACAATGATACAACTGAGGACTCAGAATGTATTTTAATGCAACAAAGAAGAAATAATGGTGACAGAACCTTTTCCTTCAAAGCAGTGACCCAGATTTCCCCAGTGCAATGTTTAAATGAAGAAGAGCAATGCAATTTAAACATTTAAACAAATATATCATACAACAATAAAAAAGAATCTAAGAACCCCATACCCTTACGGCTGTGTGGAAACTCTTCATGGAAACTGTTACATGTTTAACCCATCAAAAACCATGCCAGTAATAATGCAGGTGAGAGATTATGAGATGTGAAACTTCTACTAAATCCTTCTGTTACGACCATCCATTCTTGTCACAATCAATTTTTGTACATACCTTGCAGAAAATTCATAAACTAAGGCACATATTTTAACAAACACCGACTGAAACCAGCTACACTTTGGCGTTGGGGTAGACCGCGACAACGTCGTACCCCTCGGGGGGCTGGACGCGGGCCTTGGCATGGGTCTCACAGTACAGACTCTCCTCGATGATAAAATAGCCCTTCTTCTTCAGGTTCATTCCACAGTCATCACACAGGAAGCACTCGGAGTGATACAGATTGTCTCTGGCCTTTACGATCACGCCGCTGTGTGTCATGACAGACCAAGAAGCTACATTAGTATGCTTAACTTCATATGCAACATTTCCTGTAGTTTACTTACATTACTGTTCACATGCACTAATGCCATGACTCCACTCTACTCACACGATATTCTTTGCACAGCGGGTACACTGAGGCAGTGGCTGCACACTGGGTTTGGGGCTAAGGTGGGGCACCGGCGACCTGACGGAAGACTTCGTGCCCCCAGCCAGCTGCCCTCTCGGCAAACGACCTGCGGTGATGGGCAACACAGTGGGCTAGCTGAGTTTTCACATCTGGTTTTAAAGGTATTTAGCATATTGGTCAAAGAATGAAAAAAAAATATATTGGTAACACTTTACTTGATGAGGCACAAATAACAGTATTATGCTATTACTTATGTATTAATTAACCACAAACTAAGTCTTAGTTACATAGTGATCCCATGTTAATACATCATTAATGAATCGTGATGCATGTTTTAACTCAAGCAGTTACTATATTTGTTACTATATCTGTTAATTCTGTAAACCTTTGTGAACCACTGAAGGTACTAGTGAAGGAACAAGTCATGAATAACACAAGTGAAATAGTTATCTCATGCTTGTTCATCATTAATGAATCGTGCAACATCTTTCATCTCAAGTGTCGACTATATTTGTTGATGATTTGTACTTCAGTAATCACTATTTGTACTGTGTCAAGTGTTACCAAAATATCGGTAGCTTTCTCATATACTACATACAGATTTCTCCAATATGTTGTTTGCAGTTCATTAAATTTTAATTAAATCTGTGTGCAGCCCATTCAATCTGTTTTAAAAGGCCTCTAGTGAAAATTAGGAAGGAATTCTGAAAGTGACTATTTTTCTACTTCATAAATTGTAAAGGAAGGAGAGCATTTTTAATGAAAACTGACTTTTGATTTACGCCAAAAAAACACATTAAAATGCACGTAAATACATTGACGTGAGACTGCGAGGCTACAGACCTCCCTCTTCTGCTTCGAGCATGCCCTGGAGGTAGAGAAATGAGCCAGACTGTTTCGGCGCCATCGGCGGCTCTTCAGGCTCCTGCAGCATTTTAAAGACGTCTGACTCGCCATTGAACGTTCCATCGCTGTCGGGAGAGAAACACCCATCACAAGTTTGTTTTTCGCATTCACTCTGGCCACTTTCTGCAGAGGCTAATAGCTGGGTGTGTATTTCAGTTCATGTTCTGCTTTCTGCTCTGGGAACGTTGTTTACGTTGTTCATAAACCACCTGTAGCTCACCTCTGGGAGCTGAGGCTGAGGTCGGCCATTTGCTTTGGTAAACCACTGCTTCCGTGTGAGTAAAGCCCAGCAGGACTATTGCACTGGGGGGGCAACCTGGAGTTTCTGCTGCAGAGAGTCACATCTGGGCCGTTCTGGGCCACTTTTCCATGGCACCCACTTCCAATTGGCCTGAAATTCTGGAAAAGAACAGAGACCAACATTAGAAAACAGGCTGACTACATACTAAATGCCCCGGTGACCTAAATGTCCCAAGAGCATCCAACATATGAGAGTCCTGGCTCAGCAGGCTGTGCCTGTGATCAGTAGATCGCTGGTTTGAGCCCCGGCCTCCGCAGAACAGTCACATGTCCGTGGGCCCTTGAGCAAGGCCCCTAACCCCCAGCTCCATGGGCACCGCTGCAGGTGGCTGCCCTTCACTGCCAGGCTTACTCTCACCTACATATGTGTCTGTGTGGCATGGAGAGCAAGATGGAGAAGCTGAAGAGAATGTCCCCACAAGGGATCAACAAAGTGTCAGTATGTATTTATTATATATTAAAGAGAAGGATTTTAAATGGTTCAGGCATGGATTAAGGAAACCCTATATATATTTGTGTAAGAAATCCATAGCAGATTTTATTATTTGTAATCACAGGCTTATGTCTGGAAAATACTTTTGCGATGGTATACATTTGTCAGAGTAAAGGGATTTTGCTTCAGCCTTTACATTTGCTGTAAGGAATAGGCATGTTGTAAGAACAGTGTAATCTACTATAGGCCTATAGACATTAGCGAGGGCTCTTGGTGGGAAATTCACCCGAGGCTAAGGAGTGCATGGGATGTTGCGAGGGATGTTGCGTGGGATGTTGCGTGGGATGTCTCTGTAAGTGTAAAATTCCCGGCGCCTTGCTCTGCTCGCCCTGCCGAGCTTTTAAATGGGCTGAGTCATAACATGGAGAGGAGACACTGTCTCTCCCCCTCCCTCCCTAACCTCACTTCACACTTGGCCTCGTCTGCTTTCATTTTCTCCCCCAGGGGAATTCTGGGCTACGGCAGGATACACTGCCAACAGGTAACAGGACAGTAAACTTTTAGTTGCTGCACCTTATTTATTTAACCGTTGAATGAAGTCAACATTAGTTGGTATATGTGCTTGTTCAGTTGTTCTCTGGGGAAACATTGCCCTATTTAAAATGAGTTATTAGTTATACTGTCGACCAACCCATCCTTTGCCAACTACCTGCTGGTATAAAGTATTAATTTTATAATGAAGCAGTATGTTTGAAGTCGATTATTAAAGGCACATCTCAATATTCCACACTTAAAACACCAAAAGTATGTCTGACCAATATGAAAAACTAGTCCAAAGTTTCAAATACATGCCTGTGTGGAAAAATCGTTCTTTATTGTCATATTGGTGTGTAATGTTACCCAGCCAACAGGATGACATCACCGAATTCCCATGACTGTAGGATGGGCTGCTTTCTTATCTGTTAATTTGTAGTAAAATTTTCCCAAGACCTGGCACATCTTTGGTATGACTGGGGATAGATATTTCATGCCCCACAGATGAGCATTTTTGGCACGAGACTCTGCACATAACATTTGCAAAGTCTAACGTGCACTGAGGCAGAACTGCTAAATGTCCCTTTGCATACTCTGACGAAATGCTGAAATGAATTATTGAACGACACTTGCAAAGGTTTCTGGGAAAAGGCTCGCTTTGTTAAGTATTAATAACCATCTTGGGTACTGAGACCACACTAAATGATCATTTTTTAAAATTTTATTTTATATTTTTGAATCAGTCATTTGTGTTTTTGCAGGAGTAACTTAGTTATAATCTATAATTAGAATAAATGCTATGTAACAAACGTTAAACATGTATGGCATTTCCAAGCCCTTTGTTACTATCAAGGTAAAGTTCATTTAAACAATCTTAATCTGTTTTAACTGGCCTTAACAAGGCTATAGAAAGTCAATATTACGCAATAATAGTCTAAAGCTTCGTGTTAACATAAATCCCACCTTCTATTCAAGCTTGGCTAACGTCACTGCCGGGGCATGAACCGGCATCTCCTACAACCTTCAGGTTACCAAACAGTAACGCAGCCACAGCAACGAAAGGATTAGCCAACATAAAAGTAAAACTCAGCAACTGCACTTTTCAAACAGTTTAACGTTATATATTGCAAATAATAACATCCTAAATGTGAACAAACCCATGTAACCCACATAATATTATCTGAGTAATATCTGAGCTAAAACTTTTACATATTGTGTTCAGTTCAGATGTTTACTGACATTAACTGAAGCACAAACGAAGGCGTAGCCTAAAGTGAGTCTATATATAAACCAATTTACTGTGAAAGTTTGCCAAGAGGAGTTTGTGCAAAGACTGTAGGGCTGCCCCCTGCCCCCCTCAGCTAGTGGGGGGTGGCAGGGCTGTACATACTACTCATCTAAACCTTTATTTTTACAAATTTCATCATTTTGTCTCCTGTGGTCAGTGGATCGTCAATGAAAAGAACAGCTTTATAGCATTATACAGAAAATGAGTGTATTATTATTTTGGCTGTAACAGTAGGCGTATTCATCATGTACACTTTGGTTATATGATTTTTGGTCCGGAACATACAATGAAACAAATGAGTACATTTCTTGACTTGGATGGAACTTAAATTCATGAACACAGGAAAGCTTTTGCTATTTGTGGCTGTGAGTTGGTTACAGTTACAGCCAGTAATACCAGTGAGCCAGAGGTCAAAGACCCAGCCACATCACTTAAATCAATACTTTCGGAAAATTTTGCTTTCCTTACAAACTGCACCAACACAGCAGTGTGAGTTCTTGATAAGACCAAGACTGTTGAATATGGCATTTAAGGTGCTTTTGCCTAGAAATTCAGAAACAGCGACAAAATAACTAAGGTTACAGAGATGGCAGATATACGACCATTACTCAGCAGCAGAGAACATAGGATGTAGTTCATTACAGTTGTTATTGTGCAGTCTTATTTTTTAAATTTGATTTACTTCACATATTTTTTCATATTTATGTGCAAATAATTAGGCATCTCTTAAGTTCTGTTACAGACACGTCGATGGACACATTGCCTTTTGTTTGGTTTACAGCTGCTTGTAATTGCTCCAGTTTTAATAATAAACAATTGATAAACACCCATTTTCCATTTTTCTTGCTGTACCAAAATTGCGTTTAACCATGAACTCAAAACCAAGGTTTGTACCAAACCATTAATTTTGTGATACAAATTTTTTTAATTATATGTGCTTACATTCAAAGACTGGAAAACGCAAAGTCGGTTTTCAGTCATCAAAAGCGGTCGGGGTGTTGGTTGGGCCCCTTTAGTGCTGTTCTGGCAAACTGAGCATGTTGAATCAGCGTTGAAGCTACTCGGTGAAACTGAGCTGTGTGATTGGGCTGCATGTGAACCATCCCCTCCAGTCGTGCCAGCGTGTTCCGGCGTGAATGTTCACAATCGACAGGAGGGGACAGGAGCCGGCTGTTTGGTTATCATTACACCGATGATCATACCTTAGATTCAGACTCCATAACATCGCATGGCTTTGTTTTGTCATCCTCAGTCACTAATGGAGAGCCGCTTGTTTCTTTTGACCTGTAAAAAAAGAATAACCATATTCAACTGGTTTCTGTGACAAGTGTAAAAACGGCACTGAGTGACCAGTAACTATAGCACATGGCCCTACTGGTGCCATTTCCGCTCTTGGTTCTGCTGCTCTACCCTCACGGATCATCTCCTGAAAGAAGCCCTTTGAAAGTACCTGGTAGGAACTCCATTACGGTGAAAAGGAATTAGACAATGAATTCTAAATTTGTAAAGTTGAATTCTGAGAAATAGCTAAAATTAGTTGCTGAAATCATGTCATCTTTCTCTTATACTGAAGCAAGACATGACAGGGCTTGTGTCATTAAATTATTTACACCTTGAAAACAAGATCCTGTTACTTCAGAGCGGCTGAAAAAAGCCTCATTTAAAACAGTGAAAAAAATTCTGAAAAATCAATATTTCAATTTTTTTCAGACAAGGCAGATGTTTTTAAGGAATAACCAAACAATGGACAGATGTCAGTTAATACTACAAAAGAGGGCCACATCCATCCATTTTATGTAAGAGTTGCAGGGGAGCCTATCCCAGAAGCTACAGGTGAAAGACAGGAAATAACCCTGCATGGGTCACCAAAACACTGCAGGGCTATTTTGGTATCAATGAAAATTTATTTCAGTTCATACTTTGAACATAAAGTTTGATAGGACATCCCAAACAAACCGGATTCATGTTTTTTTAAAAAAAGTTAATAGGCTGAGGATACATTTTTATTTCTGCCAGATAACCTCACCAAATGCAAATCTCGGTATTTTCTCGGGAATTAAGGATGAATTACACACAACTGCGTTGGAAAAACCCCCGGAAGCGATGCACTATGTCAACCACCTTCTCTTTGTCTGGCTACGTTGGCATCCTTTTCCAACATGGATCCCAGCTCTTAGGATAAAGACTCAGGATGACTCACCGTCTCCGGCTATGAGTTGCCTAGACAAGACGCGCTGTTGACTCACTCTGTTAGAGTCAGTTTGGGAAGGTCGTTCCCCATGTGCTTTAACCATTTGATAGTCAGTAAGTAGAAGCACAGCTGGAGGGCATGTTTGTCCCTTGTCTCCATGAGCTGATGTGTCACCATGCGCTGCCTTCCTGTTGGGCGACCCCACGCTGACACCCCCACACCATGTTCTAAGAGAGCATCTGGGGATTTGCTGCGATGTGGCATTTTCCTGAAGCCGGAATGGCTCTTTTTAGGAAAGGCAACTTTGACCGTGGAAGACATCTGCGAACGGGCCGCAGTGAGAGGCACCGGTCCAGGCTCACAGCACAAGCCGTATGTCACAGGGCAGCCCATAATAACACAGCAGCCCACTAAAATAGAATACTGCCTCATCAGGGATGCAACCCATTCTTTCGGAGGAAAAGAGGACGTTTGCTTATTTAATCAATGGCTGTGTATGAAATATGCTCAGGGAGACTGACGGTCTCTCGAGTTCACTGGAGATATGCATGTCTCTCCCAAGGCAACAGTCGCAAACAATATATCTTCATTTGCTATTTCAGTGTGTTATTCTGTGTTACATAATGAAAGCTTAGCCTTGTGTCTGCTGCATGATTACTGCTCTTTTCTTGGGCTCCGGTCTCCGTCATCAGCAGTATCAGACGTTAGGCTTGCATTTTCGACCTGGCCACAAGTGGCCCTGTTCTGCGCTGGGCTAATTCGCAAAGAGCCCAAGGCCTATTCTGGACACACTGTGCATGGTTCTACTTACACTTTTACTCTGTTGCCCTGTTTTACTGGGAAAGTCTCTTAAAATTTACTGCAGAATTTAGTCATGGCTCCACGTCAAGCAGCCATCTGAGTTGCTCGTGTTACTGGCAAGGACCTGATCCAGCATCCAAGAGCTCCAGATGATACTGTGTTGGTTCAGGTTCATCTCTATGAAACTAGTTCCAAGTCACATAACAGGGCAACTCATGCTTTATCCACTGTGACAAAAGAGGATATTAAAGGTGTTTTTGTGGCCATTTGGACCCCGAGGAACGTCAAGTGTGCGTGATGTAAACCAGCAGCATGAAGTGCCTTTGTGGGAGGGGTGGGCTGCTAAAGCATGGACATAAATTACCGCCCCCCCCCCCCCCCC